GTGTCAGTGATGAAGTGGCTGATCATCTTGCAGTTAGTTTATGTTTGAAGTTAGTACTATGCCTTGCCTTTTAGTTATGCAACATTTGTCATAATAGCTAAGAGCACTACTCTGTCACAGGGTTAATGCACAAAGTCCCAGTATCTTATCCGCAGAGCTGTCCTTTACCAATTATTGTTGTGACTCTGTGGCAGTAATGGGATCTTTCTTGCAGGGACGGTTTGAGATCATCTCTTTATCAGGTTCTTTCCTGCTCACAGAAGATGGTAGCACTCGTAGTAGAAGTGGTGGTTTGAGCATCGCACTAGCAGGATCTGATGGCCGCATTCTTGGTGGCGGGGTTGCTGGAATGCTTGTGGCAGCGACACCTGTGCAGGTCAAAATCAAATCTCTCCTGTGCATGTTACAAATGTCACACTTATAAGTGTAGGTTCACTTCTATTGCAGGTTGTGGTAGGAAGCTTCATTGCGGAAGGGAAAAAGCCGAAGCCAGAGCCATTGAGGTGGGAACCTTCATCAGTTCCACCTCAGATGACTGGGTTTGGAGCAGCGGTAACAGCCAGCCCGCCATCCGAAGGGACATCAAGTGAATCTTGTGAGGACCCTGGCAGCCCCACAAATCAGAGCGGTGGCACCTGCAACAACTCCAGTCAGCACGTTCAATCTGCGTATCCACCTGTCAGCTGGCCTCACCCAGCAAGTCTAAACAGGCACGAACCCGACATGAAACTGATGCCTAACTAACAGAGCTACCGTTTGAAATAAGAAGAAAGCACCAGGATTTGGATCACTGTAATTTTAGTTGCCTCTAATTATTACCGCACCTTTTAGAGTGGGCCTCCGACAGACATTCCGAGGCATCTAACAGACAGCCCTGTTGAAAACCTAGGCTCATGTTCTTAGGTCACTCATGTTGTTCCAAATTATTTGCTTGTTGACTTGTTTAGAATCTCTATTTCTGCCAGTAACGAAATGTTTATCTTCTTTTCTTGGACTTGTAATGTCGCAATGTCCGAGCAGACCAATATCTGGCTGTTCTTGCCTCTTGGTATTTACAAGCTCACTGTTTTCCTTTGTGTGAGCACATGCAGTGAACAGCATGAACTGACGGTGCTTGATAGTAGCAAGTGTTGAGGGTGTCATTTGCAGACTCTCGTGTTTTCATATGTTTAACATCATGATTGAGTTGTTTAATTTGTGGGGTGGGAAGTATACAGCGTGTTGCATTAGTAGGATGACATGAACCAGAAAGAAATGGTCCACTTTTATTATTGCATCGGAGATACATCTTTGGAGACATCTGCAATGGTCACACTAATTCCTCCACACAGGCATCAAAAAGGATGTTGTGGAGATCTTAACTCCCAATATTACTATCCACACCATCAGAAATCTTGCAGCCTTCATCTGGATAAATCCATCACATCACAGTCACTATGTTGTCTTCCTGCAACCATAAGTTGGCTTCTTCTCCTTCACTTGCCTGCCGACAAATGTGAGCAGATGCTGCTGCACCGAAATCTTCTGTACCTGTAATCAAAGACTTTAAGTAAGATGAAAGATGCCAAGCCATGAACACTGTGAGACATAGGAGTCGGCATTCTACGACAAGTAGTACCACCATATGATTCGTCGATGTATGTTGTTGCATCCCACCGGAGGCTGTGGAACGTGATGTCTTCCCAGCTGCTGCTGCACATGCACATGCCCATGCAACGTGCAGCAGGACTTGGGAAAGACGAGAAGAGTGCATTCCCAGGTTCATCAACGGTGAAAGCTTCTCTCGTTGGGTTAGGAACCCCATCTGAGGGCATTGAAGCTCCTCCATCCGCCTGCAGACCAAAAAAGACGATTATAGTGTTCTTATTAACATACCACGAAATAGAGTTCTTTAATGCTGCAGATTGTACCTTTGATGCATCTGAAATCACATGCGGTTCTCTGAAGGCTATCACAGTTTCTGGTGATGGGAGGAGGTCAGATGCGTTGCAACTGCTGTCAATGAGATCGAGAGATGAACTTTCCTCTGTGCCGTGCAAGGCCTCATCGAAGTTTCTCTTGGGACACCTTTTAGCTTTGGGTTCTCCATGTCGATCGCTGCTTGTCACCCCATTGCCACTTCTCTTGACTACACGGCACAAGGCAAAAGCTCCCTAGGAGGAAGAAACCAGTCATTAGAACAACTACGTAGATCTAATAAAGGGTTCTTAGTTGCTCACCAGAAAGTTCGAAGATCCTTGGAAAAGATCTTCGCAAAGACGGTACTCGTGCATGATCCAATCGGTTCTTTCTCCCCCGGGAGCCCGTCCGCGGTAGAAGACGAGTGTTTTCCTCAACCCGAACACGGAAGACTCACATGAAATCTTTCTATCTTTGCCCGTGGATTTCCAGTATCCAGAAACGGTAGCTCTGTTCGTGCGTGAACCGTTTGGGTATTTGCGATCCCGTGGGCAGAAGAAGAACCACTCCATGTCTCTTCTTGGAAGCAACGATTTGTCTAAGAACACAGAACGCCGAGCATCAGGGAAAAACATTTCTGATCATAAATGTTGTGCTCAAAAGAGTTTTGCAGCTTAATCTGCGGTAACTCTTGTCAGGAAGTAAATGATGAGACCAATTCACATATTTAGTTTCACTTCAAATCTATCAAGATTGGAACTGTTTGTGTCAGTCAAGTTCACAATACACACTCGGTTTGCCATCCTGTTCTTCACTAAATACTCACACAAGAACGAAAAGAAATAAAGCAAAGAAAAGATGTTACCTGGTAGCTCCCAAGGATCAAACTTGCACAAATCGATCACCGGAATGACCTCGAGCTCAATCTTAAGCCCATCTACTTTTCTCTTCAGGTAGTATCCGACTAACTCCTCGTCCGTGGGATGAAACCGAAAGCCGGGTGGCAACAACATAGCATTCATTTTTCTTCTTGCAATTCTACGCTCGGTCTATCTCTCATGGAACAATGAAGCAAGAAAAAGAAGAAGGAAAAATTAAGATCACACTATTTAGAACTCGAGCATACGAGAAATGATGAGATTAGCTTCCCCTCAAAAAGATGAAAAGTCATGGAAGCTGACTCTCTACCTCATAGTGTACCTATTCAGAGTATGGAATATCCAAACATAGAAACTCTTCTCCGAGCACAACTTCCAGATGATGCAACCCTTATAGCTCAATATCATTCTTCTCATAAAACTCTGGTTTTTGGATCAATTCAACTTTCAGATCAGATGGAAAATTTTAGTTCAAGCTGCAAGTTCTCTAGGAAACCGAAGCGAAACCTCAAACTTCAGAGAGAAAAGAACAGAATAGAACAAAAGAAACTAAAGGTTTCACTTATTGCTACAATTGGAGATCTACAATATGGAAGAAGAAGAAGAAATGGAGATTCCCTTTGTTCTTAGGATTGTGAACCTCGAAACCACGAACTGGAGACTGGTTTTGTGGAACTTGTTGGTGGGCTAATGTGTAAGTTCAAAGCAAGAGATGAGGAATTTATAGAGGAAAGGATGACTCGAAAAGGGTGTTCGCAACTAAACCCACATTCCTTTCAATATCTAACTGATGCAAGTGGCCTTCTTAGTTTACTACCACTTTGCCGGTTAATGTTATCTTCATATCACTATGTCGGAAAGGCCAACCAAAATTTTCTCCTACTCCCTTTTTGTAAAGTGACTAAGATGCATGACTTTGATTTCAAGCATGTAGTTGCATTCACATCAAGTTCTTTCGTTTTGTTCTTTGTAGTAGTTTGAACCTTTTGAACTAATAATTTAAGACTACTATATGCTTGTAGAGTAGATTCCATTTCCATAAGGGTGGTCAATATAGGAAGAAACTAGTTCCTGTATTCATAGTTAGGACAAACTTAGCGATCCTTTTTTTCCTTTTTTAACTTCTTAGGCATTAGAAATAGTCTCTATTATATTCATAGATTCTGATTATTATATTATATAGTGATGAACTATCAGAAATTGAGATTATAGATCTATTTTCAATATCTCTTAGTCTTTATTACATCGCTCGTAATGGTCCTAGATAGAAAGAGCGAAGAACATAAATCTAATTCTTTTTACAATTCAGTATTACTATATCTCTTGAATATAATGATAATACATTTGTAAATCATATAAAGGTTTTTGAATGATGTCGAAAGATGCGTAATCTTGATATTGATTTATCATTATTTGATTCTGATTTTGACATTAAAGTTTTTCACATAATAGTAGCGTAATTATAGTTTATGATTATAATTAATATCAAAGCTTGTTATTTTGAAATTAAATACATTATATACAGTTTTATGCTATTGTGGGCAATGGTGTCACATGCAGTAATGGATGCCTATGTGCAGCAGCTCAAGTGTCATTGCGGTAGGCTACCTTGGCCGTATGCAGCTGCATCAATGTCTCTGCTTTAGACCAACATTGCATCGATACCTTTGATCGACGGTTACAATTCCGGCTATATGTTGATTTCTTGACTGGATTTAGATTCGATTAATATCATTTTGATCAAATTTAAAAAAAAGGTTAAATTTTGATCAATTTTTAACTTTGGTCAATTTTAATTTGCACTAACATAGTTAGGCTGATGTTTAGTCCAATTCTGAAACACTTAATTAAATTAGATTTACAAGTCTAATTTAGGGTTTCATACGAAATTAAAAAAAATATAAATTATGTTTTTTTTATAGTTTTCTCATATGATATATTCGTAAAATTTTGCTTGTGGTAATTAAATTTTATTTATTATTTTGGATATTTATTTAGTTATTTATATACATATATTTAAAATTATAAAATAATATTTTTATTATATAAAGATATAGTTTATGTTTTATTAGGATTATGGTTATCATATGAGTTTTTTTTAATAATGATTAATGTCCAATAATTATTATAATTATAATTTTATTATTAACTATTATTGCATAAACTAGATTAAATAACATTTGGTGAATATTGTTTCTAACTTATATCTATAAGTTTTCTTGAACTAGTAGTTGCCAAAGTGACATACGATGGAAAATTTATAAGATATAAATTATAATAAATATTTATTATTTATAAAATATTTTAAACTATATTTTATATTATTACATTGGTATTATAGCCATCATAGTGACCTAAACTAATGACTTATAAAATTATATTAAAGAATTAGTCTTAAATGATATTAAGAACAATAATATTCATAATGACAGACAAGATTTAGATAATCTTAAAAAAGAATATACTTCAAATAATATGAGTCCTCTATAAATAATATTAAGTGATTATTAAATATATCAATATTTTACTAGAAAATGAAATATGGATGATATCAATAGTTCATCATAGGTGCTAACTCTCTTGTTAACTTGCTTGAAGAAAATATGAAACTTTGGAGTCTTTATATTATTGAGATGATTCAACTTAATCAAGGGGATGAATGAGAAAAAAAAGAAAAGGGATCAATCTAATCCATATGAGGTGGAAAGGGAGACGAGTATAATAGTCCAACACCGCTTAGCTTTCTCAAGCAAAGCTGCAGAAGTTTGTAAGAATGGTTTGGCATCATAGCCTCATGGGAAACGCACTAAAAGATCTTTTTGTATTCTTGTTCTTACTGCAAGCTTCTAAAAGCTACAACATTCTTTCGAGTATTAATTATTTTACAGTCTTTTTTATCCACTGAGGGTATTGATTCTTCTGCTTCTTAAATGAGATCGAGCACATAGTGCACTCATCTCATCATTTAATTGTTAGTAGAGAATCCTTTCTTTCAGGAGGAAATTGCTTCTTTGCTTTGCCTACTGGTTTTAGGAAGATGGCTATGCCATGAAGCGGCTTCACAGCAAAAGATACAATACGGAAGCAGAGAAGGGAAGCAATCACCGTCTCTTCCTTCCGTCGTCTCATTTCGCTTTTGTAGGGATAAAGCTTACCTCAAGAGAAGGTAAAAAAGAAACCAAATGGAAACACTACTAACAAGCAATGGGGAGGATTCGAAGTCGCTTTTGCACACACACTTTCGGCAACGTTTGACCATTTTTTTGATTGATCACCGACGTCGTGCAGTCTTCCACGCCGTCGATAGAACACGGCACTCACTTTCAGTCCAAAAGCGTGGAGCAGCGTCGAGTCGCCGCAGTCAGTGTCGGCGATGGCTTTTCTCCTTCGACTACGTGCCCTCTCATCCGACTAGGAGACTTCTAATAGTGATGGTAGTGTTTGCAACTGTTGGAAGAATTTATATTTAAAATAACTTAATCGAAAGAAAAGGATAATGAAAAGATTAGATTAAGAAGAATTTAGTCGAGATAAGAGTTGGACTCTTTCTCTTTTAAATGAATTTGTCTTGTGCTCACGGTTTAGCCCCAATCGTCTCTAACGATCATTTCATGCAATAGTAGCACTTCAAATTAAAAGAACAACGAATTTTAATTTTAGATGCTTTTGTATTCTCTCTCTTTGATCTATGCATGGAATGAATGTAAGAAAGGAGGTCTCAAAGACTCGTTAGAATGAAAAAATATATTCGTTCGCATGAAAGGTCATGTCCATTCGATAAAGAATCATGTTTATTAAAATAAAATATTATGTTTGTTCAGTCAAAGGGACATGTTTTTCGAGTGAAAATTTTCTCATTCATTTGAAAATAGTTTTAAACTAACATTTTCAATAATCCCCTACATGAATGAAAATTATTTTAAAAATAAACATGAATACACAGACACTAAATAAAGTACACATGGAAGGGAAGTAGCTTGTGACTTTAAACCTTTATTAGTGGAATACTATCGAATTTAGTTGACTAATTAGCGAACATAATATCTTGAATTATTCAACCGTTTGGTATAAACTAAGATAATAGTACCTATATAATTTCTTCTCTCACATTTTATTATCATAGGTGTGTTCATTTTGACCCTGAATATCTCTTGGAAAATCTAAGGGACGACAACACAAGCGCAGGAAAAACCATAAAGTAAAATAAAATTCTTAAAATTTTGATATTTTATGTTCTTCGTCATGCGAATATTAGTGCGTAAAATTCACGAAACTTAAAATCATACGTGAGATAATTGTGTTACCTTAGAAAATTGTATATCTTTGAATCCTTACAGATCTGTAGGAGATGATGAAGGAAGTCAAGTGTCATCCTCTCTAGCGATGATCCATAGAGCAGGGCTACGATGATGCTTCTTAAATCTCCAAGCTTACCATCTAAGGAGGAGAAAAGGAGAGAAGAATAGGAGATGACAATCTAGAGAGGCTCTAGCCTATGAACCATTGGTTCTCTCCTATTTATAAAGGTTCAACTTAACCCTAATGGATCCTGCCCTATTGGGTATTGTATCTCCATCCAACTACCCAAAGTTCTTAGATTAGTGAATCTGTATCTAATAATCTCTCATTGGCTCTTATTGAATTTCATCCATCAGATCCAATAATTCAGGGGCTTAATGAATATCCAATAAGATAGGAGCTCCGATTGATATCTCATATCCGAACATCTACTAATTGCAATGCTTACCATATGTGTATAACTCTCTAGGCCTAATAGAGTTGGCTCAGTGAATTATTATCTCCATAATAATTCACTCAACTCATCGACTACAGATGTACTAGGCCACTACGCCGTAGTCCTCAAACGATACAGGGGAATCCAATCCATTGGACATTTCTGTCCTCAATTATCATATAACTATAGTTTCCCATCCATCTAATATCCCAGAGATCATATACCGGGTATGGTGCTGTCAGACCCATACAGTTTCTACTCGAGTCTCGCTCTAATCGGATTCTCCCGAAGAACTCTTTTTCTCTCAATCCGAATGACTCTGGCCAAGGATTTGTTTGAGCAAAAACACACGAGATATTCTTCTCATGACACTAAGAGCAGATGATCCTCTATTGATACTCAATAGTCCTCGTAAGGTTGGTTACCACTCCCGATAATCAGCTATGCTAGATCTAAAACCTCCAGACCTATAAGTCCGGTATTAAAGAATGAAGTACTCATATAGGATATCTTTGGTGTCTCAAGTCTAAGGACCAGATACACCACTAGGACTATGAAATTGCTATTTGACAACAAGGCATCATCAACTATTTAACATTTCGTAAGCGGAATAATCAGTGAATTCATTCTCCAATGAGCACCTATAATGTAATCCCTAGTATCCCCACACAAGCAGCTATGAGACTCGTTACATCCATCATAGAGACAAGTATACAACACACCAGTCTGTCCGGTGATCTCAATGTCCCTCTTGAGTAACCTATGACCAAGATTATTTAGGATATGTATTTAAAGGTAAATCGGTCTCATTATCGTGATTTCATCACGATCTAATTCTCATTGCACATATCCATCAACATCATAATATATTTAAGCAATAGACAAAATAAAGTAATAAAATATCAAATAATAATAAATAAAAAGATCACGTGTCAAGTCACACGTGCCATCACTCACGTGATTAGCTTGTATGACACCTATGACTAGTAATCTTCCACTTAACATAAAATCAATCACCTATGTGTCTGATCCCCATCAGATCTCTGTGATGCTTAAAGACAGTATGAGACAATAGCTTTGTGAATGGATCTACGATGTTATCTTCGGTTGGAACTCTTTCCACTACTATATCTCCTCGGGTCACGATCTCTTTGATAAGGTGGAACTGTCATGGGGTGGAAGTTTTGGTTGGAGTGATATGCCACACTTTTTTTTTTTTTGTAGTTAGTAGCTAATTAATAAAAATATTTTATTTAAATAATCCATTTGATAGATTTTGAGACTATGCAATGTCACCATTGTAATTAATATTCTAATCAAAGTTATCAGATTTTGAGACTACCGAATGAATATGTGTTGAAAAAAATAAAATTTTCTTTTTTGTTTGAACCATTTGGCTATCAACTTAGCCTTGTACTTATCTATTGTTTTGATAGTTTAAAGGCTTATTTTTATGTGGAAGATACACCAATTCCCATATATGATTTTACATGATTGATTCAATCTCCATTTTGAAGTTAACATAACTTCATTACATGTCTTTTCTTTATTTTCTAATAAACAAGTTAAAAAATCTTGACTAAATGTCTTGGCCCTTTTGACTCATCATAAGTTATTTTTGAGAACTTATATCTTTTTTCTTTTTATAAAGAAAGATATCTTCAAAATATACAATACCATTGATTCAATAATTATACTTTCATATAGACTAGGAATGTCTAACTTGTATACAAAGAATCAATATGCATTGCTATCATGAGCATATCATATCCAATCAATATGTAACGATTATTTGAGGCTCAATTTTGAGATTTTTTATAGGCTTAAAAGACTTCTTCTACCTTAGCTAAACACCCCAATACTTAAAAACATTTATATGATGATTTATAACATTTTCATAACTCATAAGTACAAAAACAGTGGACTTCAGATTATTTTTGTAATATCTTTTTTAATTTATATCGGATGAACATAAGAATAAAATTTATTTTTTTCGAATATAAGAGAGGACAATCTATTTATTTATACATAATGGGTGAAAATTGATAAGATATATAATCCATTCACATGAATATTCAAATAAAAAAAATTATATCAATTAAAATAAAATGCCATGTCTGTTCGACCAAAAACACATGCTATGATAACGCAGCAGGAGCAGCCGTCCGATCTTGGGCCGATCTTGGGCTTATATGGGCCTAACTGTAAGAGCCTTTAACGTGTCACCACGCGTTATCATAGCAATCAGCCTTAGCCGTCAAATGCAGTGTTCTCTGCCACCTCTCTTCTGTGGCCATGGCTTCGTCGTCGTCCCTGTTCTTGAGCTCGCCGCCAATCGCCCCTAAATCCACCAGAATTCCACCTCCACTCTCCCTTACCTTAGCCTCTGCCTTTTCCAACTCCCTCAGGCTGCATCCCCGGCGGTCGCTGACCGCCGCCGCCGCCCTCCAGGCGGAGAAGCAGGACTCCGTGAAGCTGGAACCAGTGCACTCGCCACCTCCCCCGTCTCTTCCATTCCGAGTGGGCCACGGATTCGACCTCCACCGCCTCGAACCGGGCCTTCCGTTGATTATCGGGGGCATCGCCATCCCTCACGACCGGGGCTGCGAGGCGCACTCCGATGGTATAGCTAAGATTAGGGCCTGGCGAATTAGATTTTGCGGTGGACTTAGGTTTGATTTGTTTTCCCCTTAAAGATTTGGTTTTGTTCGTGATGGTGGATAGGGGATGTGTTGCTTCACTGCGTGGTCGATGCGATTTTGGGCGCTTTGGGGCTTCCGGACATTGGTCAGATCTTTCCAGATTCTGATCCCAAGTGGAAGGGCGCCGCCTCTTCGGTCTTCGTGAGAGAAGCTGTGAGTTGAATTGGCTACTTCGTTTTCCTTTTCTTTCCCTTTTTCTTCGATTGTTCTGTAGTTCTATTCATATGCCTTTTCTTCTACTGCTTTCTCTTTCTACCCTAGCCGAGAATCTGAACAGAATGTTAAAGTTTGAATCTTGATTTATGTGATTGACTCGATCGATATCTATACATTAATGTCAAATCACTGACCTTAGTTTTGGGACCAGGGACTTCTTGCTTCAATGCTTGGAATCTTGAAGCTGGAAGAACCTGCATGAAGTAATAGGTTAGGATAAAAGCTCGTATGATCTTAAAGTACAATCCCTTTTGCAACCATTGGAAAAGCAAAACTTAAACAATGAGCAAAGAGCCACACCAAATGAGCAGCAAGGGCTCCCTTGCATGTCACTGAACTTTGATCAATCTCTTGATAATTAAATAAATTGGGAATAAAGAGAATGATCATCATTCAGCATCAAAAAGGTTGTTCCATATTTAAATTTAATATATCTACGGAATCCACTAGAACATCCACTAGGTACAGAGATGCATCTCTAGTCATGTGTGTTTGAAGAATAGCAAGATTAGAGCCTAACTTATTACTCCTTATTTGTCTATGGTTTGTGGTATCTCACCCCTTCCACCTTCACGTCTTGCCATACTGCCTGTCTTTGTCTTTTACCAATCCATAGTTAGTAACATGTTCTCAAATGGAAACAGTTTGTGCTAATGTTCGTAGCAAACAAGCAACTTCTATCTTATTCTTACTGTTGCCTTGTGAAATAACATGTGGAGGAGACAGCCGTAGGTTCCAGCTAACCTTTTTCTTGTCAGTTCTTGGGTTGTTTACGGAATCAAGGTAACTCTAATTGAGTCAAATGAGACAATGCAAGTGAGGGTTCTGGTCAAGTTTTACCGGCTATACTCAAAATTGAAAGGGGTCAGAATTGACAAACTTAATCTGGACTGAAGATGAAATAAAATATTCTAGCAATAAATTATTAAAAATTTTGGAAAGAAATTAAGTCAGTTGCATGGTCACACTGTCCTTGTAATTTTCTTTTATCTTCCTACACCCTCAACCACTTTTCTTTCCCCTGCATCCTACAGTGTTCTCCTGTGATGTCTATTTGCCTCCCTCTACCTCTACCTCTACCCCTACCCCTTTCTTTCTTTTGTTTGCTCGTAGTTTCATCCTTTTCTCCTTTCATCTTTCCCCAACTTAAGAAAATAAAACCAATTAAAAAACGTGGGATGGATGACATGATCTATTACTCACGAGGAGAAAGCTGATTATAATGTTGGAATGTGCCATAGTTTAATTTCAGCTTCTGATGACAACCATCTGATTATGAGCCTCACTGCTGTAACATTTTTGAAGCTTGAATTGCTGTACTGTGCAGTCTTCACTATTCCTGATACGGATCTGTGAATATTAGCCAAACAACTCAAACATTTTTTGTGCATGAATTGTTTATTCTGTCGGATTTTCATTGTTCCTTCTATAGTTGCATTAAGAGTTTTCTCTGTTGTCGCACCATAAATATGCTCAGTGGAACTTTTGCAACTACCTTAAGGTCATTGTTAGTATATAGTTATTTCCACCACCATGCATAACTCGGTTAATAGCAGATACTGCTTAGATATGGTTGAAAATGATCGGATCTTCCAATACCTCTAGCTTTCACGAATAATCAAATAATTTGTGAAACTATTCAAGTACTCCTACTAATATTAGTTTATATCAGGTAAAACTGATGCATGAAGCTGGTTATGAGCTGGGAAACTTGGATGCCACTTTGATTCTACAAAGGCCAAAACTAAGCCCTCATAAGGAGGCTATCAGGTCTAATTTGTGTGATCTGCTTGGAGCGCACCCTTCAGTCGTTAACCTGAAAGCAAAAACACATGAGAAGGTCGACAGTCTTGGAGAAAACAGAAGTATAGCAGCACATACTGTGGTTCTTCTTATTAGGAAGTAAAACATATCTGTGACTGAAAGCACATAAAACGAATTTTATTGCCATTATATGGACTATGGAGGTATTAAATTACATACAAGTTATGAGAGCAATGCGAGTGAGGCCGAAACTTCCATCAATATTTGTACTGATAAGTTGTGTTCTTTTTCTTCTACTCGATGATTTCCTAATGTTGCCTCATAATGTTTGAGAATTCTTACATACTTCAATATAAATTTTATTATTATTTTTGGGTAACTAGAAAGAAACTCCTCAAGACAGTTTCACTGTAGTACTTCAATCTTTGATAGCATGTGAAAACATCATCAGATCCATGTTAAATAACTATGCTCTGCTGTGCTCAGCTGCTGCTGGCTAATGTCCTTTTTAATCTATGTTTGATTCCACTTTGATCATGAGCTCTGAGACCAAGAGCCAAACCTTCACCCTGCAATTCTTTGTTTACATGATTGATTGCTGCAGGCATGTGGTTAAAGTGGGAATATATATTTGCTTGGGTTTCAAGGTATTCCTATATGGTCAAAAGATAGTGTCGAGTGGTCAGATGAAACACCAAAGGAATCTACATGTAAAAGCCAGACCGCAGACTGCTTCCTGGCGGAGATCTTGCAACTTCTTCCATAGGGCTATATACATGATTAGGAAAGAGAAAAAAGAAACCCAGAAACATCGACCATTAGAAGAAACAAAGCTTACAAGGGGACATACCAGACCAAACACATGATTCCTCATCCTTACACATTGTTCTTCTAGTATCAAATGCATTTCCTAGGTGCTGTTAGTACATGTCCGTGATGAGAGGAATCAACATACAATTTTCTAGAGCTTAAGAAACTACCAGTGCTCTATCCATTATTTCTTAATATAATTCTCTTTGGAATTTAGCTTAGGATTTCTACAAATTGGAAGGTAGAAAAATTCTAGTAGACAGTACGACAAAATGCTAACCATGCACAAAAATGCTGTAATTTACGCTTTATGTTACTGGTTTCAGTTCACCATTTATTGGTCACATTGAAGAGTTCATGACCTTCTTCTCCTTGCAGGTCCCTTGTCGCTGTCGGCAGTTGAATTGGCGTTGTAGAGAGAGACCATTGGCCATGCGACAGTGGCTCATTTATACCGCTGTAGGCGACGGGCTGTCAGATCTTTGGACATAAGCGTTCGCCTCTCTCCCCCTCCCTCAGCTACTGTGCTCCTGCCTGTGACTATCTCTTCCAAATCCGTTCCCCTTCCAAATCCATTCCCAGTCAAACGAGAAACAACAAATGAAGTGACACAATCCTCTCTCTCTCTCGAAACTCTTCCATTGTTCGAAGCTTCTGTCTTCTGAAATTTTCGTATTACAACAAACTTTCTTTGCCGCTGTCTCAAGCTGCTGCTACTGCTGCTTTGCTTCTTCTTTGCTGCTATAAATGTCAATCTTTCCGACATTATTGTTTCGTAAAAGCGAATAGAAGAAGCAAGAGAAGAAAAGGATGGCGTTTTGGAGCACCGGCGGAGTAGGAGGATTTGTCGACACCGAGCTGTCGAAGAAGACGTCCATCTTCGGCCTTAGGCTCTGGGTGCTCCTCGGTGTCTGCGTCGGTGCCGCCATCGTCCTCGTTCTCTTCCTCTTCTCCCTCTGCCTCTCCTCCCGCCGCCGGAGCTCTCCTGCCCTCCCCTCCTCTGCCTCCGCTCCCGCCGCCGCCGCCGGCCGCATAAAGAAGCCCCTCAGACTCCACCTCCGCGACTCCACCCCTCCTGTCTCCAAGGACATCCCCGAGATCCCCTTCCACTCTCTCGCCGCCCCACTTGCTCCCGCCATCGACGTTCGGGTGGACCTCGGGAAGGAAAACCGCCGCGCCGCGCTTGCCGACCACTTCCGCCCTCCGCCGGCCCCGCCTTCGGCGTCTACGACAGGGACGGCCAGCGGGGAAACCGCCGGCACTCCGTCGTCCACCGGCGGGGGCGGCCCGCCGGAGGTGTCGCCTTTAGGTTGGGGGCGTTGGTATACGCTGCGGGAGCTGGAGGAGGCCACCGGCGGGCTCGCCGAGGAGAATGTGATCGGGGAGGGAGGCTACGGTATCGTGTACCTCGGGAAGTTGGCCGATAACACCCTCGTCGCCATCAAGAATATGCTCAACAGCAGGTGCACGACGCCACCTTTCTCTCCTAATCTCCATCTTTGCTTGCTCTCGTTAACGCATCTTCTCATTTTCCTTATTTCTATTTGCTCACTTCATTTCTTGTTTACGATTTTTACTTTTTAAGTTTTTGTGGAGTGATATAGGTGTCCAAAAAGTTGGAAATTTGCCTTACTATATACACTAGTACATTGACTATGTTACGAGTGCTCATGAGAGAAATGTTGTTGATTCATTTGACATCAGGGGTCAAGCGGAAAAGGAATTCAAGGTTGAGGTCGAAGCAATCGGGCGTGTGAGGCACAAGAATCTGGTCAGATTGCTTGGTTACTGTGTTGAGGGGGCCTATAGGTACACCACTTACTCTTAGAATGACATGTAGATTTGCTTTGTAATGCTTCTTATCGCTGCTGCATAAAATGCTTAAGATGAATTGATCTGATTGTTTTATCGATATCTTTATCCATTTTCTTCTTGCATATTTAGGATGCTTGTATACGAGTATTTGGATAATGGTAATCTTGATCAGTGGCTTCATGGCGACATCGGAGAAGTGAGTCCTTTGTCATGGGATATCAGAATGAAGATAATACTTGGAACCGCAAAAGGGTATGATGTTTAAATTTTAATCCTTAGCACGCTTTCAACCAAAGTAATTCTGTTATAAGTTAGCATTCAACCATTTCGGAGAACGCATGCCTTGCTGTGCTAACACTTTTAGTATATGTATACTAAGTGGTTATATGATGATGCATAATGACAGCGAAAATTGATATGCTATGCATCTGAAATTATGTGATCAAAAGATGTTCACACGAGTAGTGAACCATACTAAACTCCCGTTGTAGATTTATTAGATGTGGGTTTACCCTAAAAGGTTCTTTGGTGGTAATTAGGCAGGCTTATACATGCATATGAAAAGCATAACTCATATATATAATGAACCAACTATTAGGACTCCTTTGGGAAAATACAGGGAGACGTGATATTTTTGATATCTCATAAATTGTATATGAAGTATGTACCATTTATCAAAGACAGTAGAACATGAAGACAATCTTCATCTATGTAGAGCAGTTCAAAGATTTGGACTTGTTCTGGTTTTTGGATTTGTGCAGTTTCAGGCTCGTGAATTGACATCCATATTCCATGCCTTTCATGCTTATGCAGCTATTTTCTGTTCGGTCTGGTAAAATATAACATACTATTATGCTGCTTAGTTTGGTATGTTCTTTTCAAATTTTAGGTCCTATTTCAGTTTTAAGATTTAAAAGAAAAGAGATTGCAGTAGATATGTATTTGTAGTTTTCAAAGAAATAAGTTTATAATTAGTAACTATGTTCTAGTGTTCTCCATCTACATTATGATTACAACACCACTGTCCACAAAAGTCTGGTAAAGAAAAAGAGAGGACCACAAGTGATTATATTTACTCTTGAAGTTCTCTGTTTCCTGAACATGGAACAATTGTTCTGATTATGTCATTTATGGAGAATGACACGCTCCAAAAATATACCGTGGAATAATTGTTCTGATTATGTCATCTGTGGAGAATGACACAGCTTCAAAAATATACTATTTCTGAATTATATTTGTAGATTTTGAGATTACAAATCATGTTTGCAGCTTGGCCTATCTTCACGAAGGACTAGAACCAAGGATTGTACACCGTGATGTTAAATCTAGCAATATACTACTTGATCGACAGTGGAATCCCAAGGTATCAGATTTTGGGCTGGCGAAGCTCTTGTGTTCGGAGAGGAGCTATGTCACCACTCGTGTTATGGGCACATTTGGGTGAGTTCAGAACCTTATCAAACTGCAGATCTACTATTTACCTTAATTAAAGAATCTCACAGCTTGTCCTCCCTGTTTTTCACAGGTATGTCGCTCCAGAATATGCTAGCACTGGAATGCTGAATGAAAGAAGTGATGTTTACAGCTTCGGAGTACTTATCATGGAAATCATATCAGGAAGATCTCCTGTTGATTATTCAAGACCTTCTGGAGAGGTCAGTTTTCTTCTGCTTGAAGAAATGATTTCTTAGGCTTGAAAGGAATAAGCTACATGTGAACTTACATTGCCTTTCTCAGGTGACTTTGGTTGAGTGGCTAAAGACCATGGTTGGTGACAAGAAATCTGAGCAAGTAGTGGATCCTAGGATGCCCGAGAAACCATGTCCCAAAGCACTGAAAAGGATGATTCTGGTGTCCCTCCATTGTGTGGATCCTGATGCACAGAAACGACCAAAAATGGGGCATGTCATCCACATGCTCGAAATGGATGACTTGCTCGCTCGAGATGTATGATCACTCTATCCTTCCAGTTCTTTCCCTGATTAATCTTCGTCGAGATTTTCACTTTTTCTGTTCATCTGTACACCAATAAGACAGCATAAAAGTAAAGTTTAATTCTGTATAGACGCGTAGAGCAATGTACAAACAACTAATATAGATTGGTACTATCATTACAATTGGAGCACTGATTGAGCCATTGTTGTCTGCACAGGATCGTAAACTTGGGCGGAGAGCATCTCCTGCTTTATTATCAGACAGACGCAATACAAGAGGAGAGGAAAACTCGAGCAATCATCTTCATAGGTCAAGATAGCTATGACAGATAAGAAGTAGGTGACTGAGTTTAGGTTTGTTGCATTTGCAAGTCACATACTTCTTCCAATTTGGCCATACTTTATTGTTGCATTCTTAATCTGGGATTTGGAACCTGCAAGGAGTTGATAATTTCTCATGCATTGTCTAAAAGAAAAGTTCATTTTGTGATTACAGTCCATAATTTATTATAAAAACAGAAGTTACACATCAAGCCAATTTGAATTTTGCCCCGATGTAAAAATAAACAGTGTCATGATCTAACTCCATATACTGGTTCAAAAAACATCTACTACTTGTGTCCGCGTAGTTCTAAACTTACTCTATTGTTTTAAGAACATGATTGATCAATCGATTCAATAACTTTGAATATAATAGATACGGAACCACATTACTCAAAATGCTTAAATATAAATTACCAATAGTAGATTCATCTGAGTGTTGTTATATACTGTTTTAGGACCATGTCAAATATGCAATCAGAAACTTTTTATTTTCACTGCAGTCTTCTTTGTGTTAGTTTTTCCTCATTGATTCTATCATCACAATTTGAACACCCCAAGCATGAATGTGTGCATATGCTCTCAGATATCATGAGCTGCTTTCTTCCTAGATTTATTTTTTCCTTCATATCGGCCAGACAGACTATTAAGGGGTTCTATCACTATAAGTCATGGATTGTCTTGCCCACCATTCCTGTGGACCTCTCCAACATGTCATGAGCTGCAGCAGTCAAAGAACCAAACAGGAGTAGCTTTAACCTCTGTTCAAAGTGGTGATGGCTGAAACTTGAGGATTGGAGAATGGTGATAGATGTTCAGCAGCTAGCTGAAAAGTGTAGATTAGAAAAGTGGGAATCCGACAAAAGAATGAGGTAGGGGATGGCTAATTCCAGGCAGAAGTGCCACATGCTGCTCTGGCAGTAGAAGATAAATGCTGGTGTGGATGGATGTCTCTTGTGGAAGAAAGAAAGGTTGGACCAGCCACCAAATCTTGATCTAATTGGAGGATCGGGAGAGAGCTACAGAGTTGTTGCTCCCTCGAGACAAAAGTAGTACAGAAAGAAAGCACATGCTTGGTGATGTGCGGTGGTTCTTTTCATGTTTTGGGAGTAGGAAAAGCTTCTTTTCATGTTTCGGAGGTAGCAAAAATTCTCATACCAATAAAATCTCATGTATATTCCTGCTCTAGAAAGTGATAAAAGCATTAGATCTAATCCCTGTCGTCAAGAACTACCGGTGTTAGCGAATGCAAGATGATCCAAAGGGTGGTTTTAAGCGTATGTTTGTTTTCACTCAAGTTTGGGCTTCCTTTGAGCTTGCTTGTGGTTGTGGCATTCTTGAATCCTTGGTTACACTAGAATGATTTGAGATCTAATTCTGAGAAGAATCGGACGCAAAGTCACTATCATTGGGACCTTCCAACTTGAGGAGAAGAAGAAATGGACAAAATAAGAACTGATACGTACTCGTCAACATTACTGAAAAGAACACCGAACATGAAGCTGGCAATCATCTGTTGCAAGCTTGCCCATCTGCTTCACTTCACTGCCCAGCATGATTCCGATCAGCCTCCTCTTCTCCGCTTTTAATTCTGCAGCATCTTCCCATAACGCAGCAGTTGACAAGACTATCTGGTTCAAGAACAGAACAGTGCAGGAGAGATAAGAAGCGATCCAACTTAAGGGTGTCTCAGGAATTTTGCCAGGTTCGTAGTTTACAGAACGCTGTTGGGCCTATGTTTGCGCTTCCATTCGTCAAACGTCTCGAGGTCGACTCTTATAAGAAATCTCATTAGTTGACGATGTAAGAATAACAATCTTCCCTCATTTAATTTTAAGTATATATTCCTCGACCTCATATGAGGATTTAAGCTGTATATTGAAACTGTTAAAAATACAATCCATTTTCGACTCTTATATGTGCACACTGAGAATTAGGAAGAAGCACTCGAAGAAAAAAGAAATCAAATAAAAAAAGTATTCTGATAATTTTAAAATTTTCTTAAAAAAACTCTAATACGCGACTTCGACACAAATCTTAAGAGTCATATGCTAAACTTAAGTCGAGAATTAAGTCCAAATTTTCTAAAAGAATTTAGGTTGATGATGCAAATGTCAAATAACATTCTTTGCGAACTTGCAATCATGGTGGCACCTCTCCTAAGAATATTAGATTGGATCAAAGCCAATACAACGGATGGATAGAAAAAGACAAAAATAAGTAATATATAAAAAAATTATTAAATAATTAAAAGATAAAAATGATAAAACCTTTATTTTAAAGAATTAATGGAAATTGACCATATAATTTAAGAATTGACTATATATATATATATATATATATATATATATATTGTTGTAGTAACTCATTTTTGTGGCTCTGATTTAGTGTTTGTAATTTTTATTAAAATGATAGGAGGAAAAAAATATATTTCAAAAAAATGAAAATAGTATATAGATTTCCATATTGAATCTCGAATTTTGATGATAAGTTAATTGTAAGTTGTTTGATCTAATTTATATCTTGAGAAAAGTGTGTAGGATTAACTACGATAACAGTAAGACATAAAGCAAGTGTTGTGCCGGAGTCAAGATCGAGATATTTATTGAGAGTTCGAGAGTTCAACGGAAGTCCGGACGTTCATCGGAAGTTCTGCGGGAACCAACCGAGAAGTCCATAAGCTTGCTATAGAAGCTCATCGGAACTGGCCAAGAAGATCGTCATAAAGTCCAGGAGCTTGCTGGGAGTCCGTCGGAACATTACCGAGAGTTCATCGGATGTTCGTCGAAAGTACGTCGGAAACTCGCCGAAAGAGCAATTGACGCACCAGAATAAGAAGCACCATAAATTATGTCTTAATTATCATAGTTAGAGCATAAATTAAATTAGGATTGAGAGGTAATCCCATTAACGTAATTATGGGCCAACTAGACCCTTAACAGGGTTGAATTAGGCCGAATTGAGCATCCAATTCAGCCCCTGAAAATATGGTCGGTGGTGGCACCGCTTGGAAAGCAGTGCCCCTGGATTCCTGGGCAGTGGTACCACCGGCAGCAGTACTGCCAGCAGTGGTACCACCCCTGTTCGGTGGTGGTACTGCCCAAGGTCATATCAATGGCGATAGTACTGCCCAGTAACGGTGGTGGTACCGCTAGTACCCGAATTCCGAGGATGTGACACTTTTTTGCTCACCCTTTTCTGCATGAAAGGGCATGAAACTATTTCTTTAATCTTGAAGTCTTGAGTCTTAAAGTATTGTAAAAGTTAAAGTTATCTTCCTTCATCTCTTAGCCTTGTAACCATCCAAGAAAGAGGAGTGAGACTTGAAAGGGTTCATCTCCTAAACCCGAGAAAAGGAAAAAGTGCTGTAAAGAGGTGTTCGGTTTTCACCTATTGAAGGAAGGTTTTTAGTGGATGCCGGAGACCTCATCAGAGGAGGAATCCGAAAGTTGATGTAGGTTACGTTGACCGAACCATTCTAAATATGGTTTGCATTTCGTTTTGAGCAATCTTCTTTAACTGCAAATCATTTCATAGCAAAGTGCTTCTTCTCCTCGTCTTGCTTTCACTACACTTGCGCTCTCTTACGTTTTAAAGTTATTATCTTTTCGAATCAATTTCCTTCGAACGTACGAAATATTTTTTGAAATTATAAAAGTTTTTCGCTGCACTAATTCACCCCCCCTCTTAGTGCCGCTCTTGATCATAATAATTGGTATCAGAGCAAGGTTCACTCTCATTTGGTTTAAACCCAAGAGAGATGGCATTTGCCGGCAACCTAGAGGGCCATTCAATTACACATCTACCCATGTTCAATGTGACGAATTATACATATTGGAAGACTAGAATGAGTATCTTCCTAATTTTAATGGATTTTGAGCTTTGGAACGTTATCGAAAACGGTTTTCAAAAGTCTTCTCTTCCAATGAACGATTGGAATGAGTTGGAGAAGAAGATTTTTACTTTAAACGCAAAAGCTATGAATACCTTATTTTATACATTAGATAAAAAAAAGTTTAATCGAGTATCGATTTGTGAAACGACTTTTGACATTTGGCACACACTCGAAATGACTCATGAAAGCACTAGTAGAGTGAAGGAGTCAAAAATTAATCTTTTAGTGTATTCTTATGAGTTGTTTCGAATAAAACCGAGTGAGACTATTAGAGACATGTACACTCGATTTAAGGATATGTCAATGGTCTAAAAGAACTTGGTAAAGGTTTCTCAGATTTTGAATTGGTTAATAAAATTTTAAGATCCCTTCCAAAAGGTTGGGATCCTAAAGTAACGACCATTCAAGAGGCCAAAGATCTAAATAATTTTCCTATTAAAGAACTAATTGAGTCACTAATAACCTATGAAATGACATGCAAATCTCATGAAGAGCTTGAGAATACCCTTCTAAAGAACATGAAGGATATAGCACTAAGAATACAAGAAGACCACTTAAAAGAAAACTTAAGTAATGAGGACTTTGATGAAGACTTGGCACTATTAACAAGAAAATTTTAAAAATTTATAAAAATAAATAAATTAAAAAATTATACTAAAAATAAATTTGAACCAAAGAAAAAACAAGTGATATGCTATGAATGCAAGAAGCCGGGACACTTCAAGAGTGAATGTTCCCAAGCAAAGAGGAGGCAACCAAAGAAGAAGGCACTCAAAGCTACATGAGATGACTCGAGTGCTTCCGAAAAAGAGGAGCCAACCAACACCGAGCAAGTTACTCACTATGTGCTAATGGCTACTAGAGATGAGGTAACAAGTTCATTAGGCACAAATTTAACTTTCGATGAGCTTTCAAGTGCTTTTCATGAATTATCTTATGAATGTAGATTTTTGAGTAAAAAGTATAATTTTTTTAAAAAGGAACATGCTTCTCTTATTAGCAATTTTGATAGAGTAAAGATTAAGCATGAAAATAGCTTAGCTCACTGTACAAAATGCCATGATTTAGAAATATTTCAAAAGGAAAACTTGCTACTCAAAGATACCTTGAAGAAATTTAAGGTTGGTAGCAAGTCCTTGAACATGATCCCTACCAACAAGGGTCACGTTCATAGGAAAGTCAGAATAAGATTTGTGAGTAGCTCTCATCAAAATCTAATAACCTTTATTAAAGGCCCTATCTTGCATGTATCACCTCACACCAAATATAACTTTTATTGCAAACCTAGACATGCTGCGTACAAATGTCCATTCAAGAAATATAGTCCACATAAATTGATTTAGGTCCCTAAAAGAACCTCAAATGACTCAATGCAATATGATAAGTTATGTAGATCGATTTTTGAGGCACCCAAGGTCAAATGGGTACCTAAAAATCATCCTCTTTTGTAGAAACGTATACCATCACAAACTAGGAGCAAGAGATGATATCTTATTTTTGGATGCTCAAGGCTTATGACCAAATATCTAAAAATAACTCATAAAGTTCTTTAGCCAAAATAATAAAAAGGGGATCATAAGAATTAAAACTGTTAGTTACAAAATGATACTTATAAGATCATGATGTAATAATTATTTAAAACCTTATGTGTTAAACACTTGATCTTGATCTCTCAAACATAAAAACTCTTATACACAAAGTTCCCTTTCTAACTTCTTCCGGATTCCTAAATTTTTAGGATACATTCCCTCCTAAATTCTTTTTCGGATCGAATTCTATCTAACAAGATCATGAATCTGTGTTCGGACCTTCTTTGGATCACTCACATAAATCATGATCTTATAGTATACGTAATGAGCCATATGCATTTTTCCATACAAGTTTTTACGATGCTTGCATATAAATTTTATATGAGGAATCATGAACTTATTGTAAACATATGAAGTCTATATAATGTTTGAGTATGGTATGCATTTTATATGATCAATCATGAACGTACGAATCTTCTTCTCTTATAATACGAATTTTTACATGATGATGTAAATAAGGCTGTGTGCTTCACAAACAAAAATTTCTTTCAAGTTGAAATCACCCATGATAGTCCCATACAACTATGTGAGCAGTGCTTACTGCCTATAGGAAGTGACACTGCCCAACTGGCAGTAGCACCGCCAGATGTCATGGGTGGTAGGCGATAGCACCGCCCAGCTAGCGGTGTCATTGCCTGCAACTTGCCCCCCTTTATAAACTTAAGTTAGGGTTGATAGTAGAACCGACTCCAACACATTCTGCACTCCTCCAAACAGCTCCAAACCGATTGCTCTCCCTCTAGCAACTCAAAAATCCCCACTTCCCACTAGATCAAGGATCAATCTCCAACATTCTTTGAAAGATCACTAGAAAGGAGAACTACTAAGGTAATCTCTACACCAAACTGATTCTTCTTTATATTACTTGTACTTGCTCCTTATTTGCCTTCATTATTATAATCTCAATGGCTTCTAGAAGATTCTCTAGGAACAAAAGGAAGAGGAGATTAGATGAAAATTATGACTCCCTACTTTTCGATTCTAATCAACATGCCCTAAAATTTTCTTCCGAGTCTAGACATGTTCATAAGGGTAAATATGTTGATTTAGATGAGTTAAGTGATTTGGAACCTATTTAATGGTTTACTAATCTAGACATTCTCCCAATTTTTCAAATTAATGAACCTATTTACTCTCGACTTATTAGGCTATTTTACAATAATTTACATGTATATGAAGAAGAAAGGGTATATACCTATCTATTAGGACATCAAATATCCATTACGGATAGATTAATTTACAACATCATATGAATTCCGGTAAAAGAAAGGGGGTATTATTTTAGAGGATAATGGGATGATGAAACAGTTGGAACTACTTACGTTAATGCTTTAGGAATAATTTTTGGTAATCCTAACTTAACGATTCTTCCAAAAAACCGTGAATATTTACTACCTTTAAGCACCAAAATACTTCATCACATCCTGATAAGTATTATTCTCCCAAATCAATATCATCATGATGAAGTAAGTCAAATGGAACTAGGTACCATGAATTGGATTACGAAGGGACATAACAATTATTTTGGTTATCTAATCCAATAGAATATGATTGAACTATCAAAAAGGGACATGATGCTTCTATACGGTAGCTTAATTATAAGACTACTCCATGCCTATAATATTGCTATTCCACCCGAAGAAGAAGTTATCAAATTAGATAGATTTAGTATCATAAATAGAAATCTACTTCGATGGATGAGATATACATTTAGAAATGGAATATGGACCAGACTACCTAGAAGGACTGATCCCCACCAACCTGAACCAGAACTTGAAATACCAATTTTTAAGTGTAATCAATCTCCTCCAACTAGTCCCTTTGAGAAATCACCTTCAGTAGAACAAGCACCTCCCTTATCTATCTATGACATAGGGACTCGGATGGATCGTTTTGAACGATGACAAGATCGATTTGAACAATGCCAAGATCAAATCTTAACCGAGTTGCAGCACATTCATTAACAGTTTAATACTTTGTTTAGACATTTTATGCTAGTATCAAGAAAAGTAGAATCCAATGGAGTGAGAAAAATAGTAATAAAAAATCAGAATAATTTAAAAAGAGATAAGCCGATTAAATTAGTCTTGAAAAGTAAAAAAATCACAGGGGGTTTAAGCTATGAGTCTTTGGGATTCTAAAATGTAATCCAATTCCTGGAATGGACCCCATGGGTCAGAACACCGATGAGGAGGAGAGCCACAGTAGAAAGAGAAAGCGTGCAAGGCTAGAAGAAGACGACGAAGTGATTTCTCAGAGGTTTCAGCGGCCCGGTAGCGGGATACGGAGGAGAAGAGAACAGCAGAAGAAAAGATCAGGTAGATTTCTCTGAGGTAATAATCTCTGTTCCTCTACGATATTCTCATCTTTAGGTTTTCAATGGTGATCTCGTTTCATCTACTTCAGATTTTTGTATTTGCCCTAATATTTCTTGTGGGCTGCTTTGGCCACTTTATGATCTTTTATGTGTGATTTCTTGTTGTTGGACTCTGTAAAAAATCTGATTTTTAGAGTGTTCCTGGATTGGAAACCCTACTTTGGTTCCATGCAACTCTTTGCAATTAATGTGTTTGCTTCTCATGTGATTTATCTGGGTTTGGATAAAAAATGCTCCCTTTCGCAGCATGGACTAAATGTAGTGTTGGGTGATGCTTCAGTAAGTATTTTTAGCTCTTAGCATAAGCGATCTTTGAACACCTTGATCTTAAATGGCCGACAAGAAAGTATTTGTCTGTTCTGCGGCAAACTGTGGAAGCAGTTAGGATTTTAGCTTGCTATTGGCTTCAGTTTGAAGTTCCAACGAATGTGATCCTCTGTGATGCTTGCCATCACGATCTGTTTTGTTTCCAATATTGTCGGGTGTGTCTGCTAACAGCCATGTATCTGTTTAAATGGCCTGTGATGAGTAATTTCAGTTTGCTGCGCCTGCACGTTTCAAGTTCAGAATCTATGCGAGTCCTAATGATAAGCGGCAAAGAGGGTTTTTGGGGTTTTTGTATCAAGGGCGTGGGTGGCATTTCTTGCCAATGTCATCTTTTACTTGATAAGCTATAATGGGTCAACATGGATGGTCTGATCCAGACTGGTTATAATTCTAGCGTAACTAGACAGTAATGCTTTCTCTCGTGCTAGAGTTGCTCCATGTATGGAGCTTTGTATATTCTTTTATCAATGTAGATGATCATTAAAGCTGACACCTTAGCTAGTCCTGTGAGGAGATTAATGATTAGCTTCCTTAAATAGTCAACTATGGAACCAACGATCTGGTTGGTTGGGCATGGTCTATTAGACTCAAAAAGCCTGAACATCAAAATTCATTTTTTAAGGAATATTTTGCATATTTATCGAACAAAAGCAAAACCAATAATGTAAAGATCACTCATGCTTGAATGGATGCTGTAAATCATTCCAATTAGTGATAAGAATTGTTATATGCATGACTACACAGATTTATCTTGTTTTAATTATTATGTGTTGGTCAAATGAAACTATGTTTCCATACTATTAAATGCTTTTTTAATATTAAATCTACTCAAGTCTTCTTTGATCTTCCTCTACCTCTTCTGGCTATTGTGTTCTGAATTGACTCTCCCATGTCCAGAAAATTATGCATTCAGCATGTTTACCATGTTAAGGAAATCATGCTGGTAAATCCTTTATATTTAAGATTATAAAATAAACACAGGTGTGTGTGTTTTTTCTGTTTTGTTTTATGCTCACTTTGCTATCTTCCTCTGCGGTTAAGATATGGTGGGATAGCAACACTCCTGATTCATATGGTACTATGTTAATTTGAAGCTAAAATACCATGGTTATTCAATATTCAAAACAGATTCTGCTCCATAAATATATTTTTCTTGTTCCATCGGACAATGTCTTATTTGAAGGATGCCATCTTAGGTTTCTGATTGAAGTGGATGGTTTTGAGTCCATTTGGGAGCGCTTATTTCTTGCAGTATTTATTCTCTATATTGCCAGTGTTAATTTCATCATGAGTTCCATTTCCCTAATTTGCTTCCTCTAATCTATGCAAGCAATCACCATTTTTTTCTTCATGATATCTTGCTCAACAAACATTCTCATTATAATATGTAGCACATATTAGAAGCTTACATTTTGCAGTTTAGTGATTATTATGGATGAGGGTGGGCAGAGGGGGAATGGGAGATACAAGACTGACCAATACAAACCATCTCATGCACAGGTACTGCAGAAACTTTGCATATATATAGATATTTATTTATATATATGTATGTATGTATGTATGTATGTATGTTCCCAACTTTGTTCTTTTCAAGCTGCCTGATGAATTTTTGTACTGATCAAATAGCAGAAAATGTACTTTCATTTTAGTGATTGATTTATCTTTTAACAACATCGTCTGAAGCACAGGACATTTTATCTTGTTATTACTATAAGGGGATGTCATGTTAGACAGCACAATGACATGTTTTCCTCCTTAATGCCAATTTGTCTGAAACCTTTGAGAAAAAAGCTGCCATTTTTTTGTTGTTTCTCTGTCAAGAGATAAAGTTACTGAACAGGCATGTTCCTCTATTGTAATTATAAACAAATTAAACTATAATTTCTATTTTTTTGTGTCTTCCCTATACTAAAGCTTCATCAAAGTTTCTACCATTTTCATCTGGGTCATGAGATTGATCTGTTTTAGGTGCTTGGTTCTAGAAAACTAAGGTTAAACTCTTCCTTTTAAGAGCTTCCTTTGTTCTCCCGAACTTCAAATGTACATGCCATTTTGTGCTTGCCTTTCCTAAATTTTCGTTTCTCTAGTTTTATTTATCAAATTAAAGGCAGAAATTTTTAATTTTTCTTCTCTGCTAAATTGTGATGAAGATTTTTTATACATATCATATTTAAGTATGCCTAATAGACATTCGATCGCATCACTCCTTGGTGGCTTAAATTTCTCTTATTATTATGGTTTTTGGATGATGTCCTAGTGGATGGCACCTCAGCATCACCTGAAGGAAAACCAGACCATAAAACTCATCATGGCCGAACGCGACAAAGCTCTTCAAGAACGTGATCTTGCCATTTCTGAGAAAAAAGCTGCTTTGGTTGAACGGGACATGGCATATCTCCAGCGGGATGCTGCAATTGCTGAGAGGAATAATGCCATTGTAGAACGTGACAATGCTATTGCATCTCTTGAATATGCACGTGAGAATGGCATGAGTGCTAGCTGTGGACCTGGATGCCCTTCTGGTCACCATGGATCTAAACACACGTACCACTACCACCACCAGCAGCATCTTCAGCATATCCATCCTCCATCACAACAGTTGGTAGATGCCTCTGGCCAAAAAAAGGATGCACAAGGTGAGATGTTTCCCATATCAGCTGCTTCAGAGACTGGAGTGAAGGCCCTGAAGGCCAAAAGGGGAGGGAAGGTGACCAAAGTCCAATCGTCTTCATTAAAGAAACCTAGGAAGAGTAAAAGGGGTGGAGGTGACAATTTTAGCAAGCAGGTCACAATTGCAAAGAAAGCTGGGGAGTGGAGAGGTGAAGTTGGAATAGGGGAGGATCTGACAAAGCAGGTTTCGATGGCAAAGCATCATGAGTGGAAGAGTCAAGACCTGGGCCTGAACCAGGTGGCATATGATGACACGACGATGCCGGTTCCTGTTTGCTCATGCACTGGGAAATACCGCCAATGCTACAAATGGGGGAATGGAGGATGGCAGTCTGCCTGTTGCACAATGACACTTTCCATGTACCCACTACCGGTGATGCCCAACAAGCGGCATGCCCGTGTTGGGGGGCGCAAGATGAGTGGAAGTGCATTCAGAAAGCTTCTAAGCAGGCTTGCATCAGAGGGTCATGATCTATCTCTACCAGTGGACCTGAGGGAACACTGGGCTAAGCATGGCACAAATCGGTACATTACTATCAAGTGAGGAAGACTGTTGGAGAAGGGAAGGGAAAGATGCCAAACACATTTATAACTTGAATTAACCTCTGGTTGGTCTTTCTTTTCCCTTATGTTGAAATTATAGTGTACGATTCAGGTCTAGTACTAAGAGGTGCAGTCTTCTGATGCTTGAGAGCTCAATTGTATCTGCCTATCCTGGAAGGAGATTTTTCTAAATGGATTCTGTTTCCTGATGGATTATACTGCATCATCTTATGTATATAGCTTGTGCTATCGATACTAATTGTGATATCTTAGTCTTCCTATCTCCAGAGGAACATGATATGATTGAAAACTAGTTACCATGGAGAACTATCTTCCTGATGCTCTAACCTGGTCTATCAGTTGATAGTTGGCGAGTCAAAGTAATGCTAAAGCATCAGAAACTTCTTTTCAGGTGGTATGTATGGTGAAAGGTCTTTGAACTGTAGTTTAGTGGTCACTACTGTCTGCTGCAGATGTTTATATGCATTCTTAATCTCCATTACTTCTTAACTGACCAATTAAAGCTTGAGGTTTAATGTAGGTGTATTAGATGGAATTTCTTTAGTATTCAAATTAATCATTAGGTTTTTCTATAAGCATGAGGAGATTTCTACTTTTACATCAATTCTATACAATAATTTATTCAGGAAGTTTATTGATTCAGAAATCCCTGCTTGCAGTAAGTTCTACTTGATCATTGTCTAAATATGGGCTTGAGTTTTTCTGCAGTTGCTGGAGTGGTGGTTTCTCATTCATGTGGAACAATGTAGGATGTTTATAGAGAGCCAATATGAGATTAGTAGATGAAGAAATGTATCATTTGAGTGCAACAAAGATGCGTTTTGCATTGCGAATCACCGACTCTTCCGGCTGAGAGTATTCACCCCATTTGCAACAGTGAGGGCAGTGTGCTTCATTCGTGTTGAAGAAGATGAGGAGAGCGACAATAGCGGTAGTGCAAAGGGGTTTAAATGGTTCGATCAGTTTTATTGGGTTGCAAATGTCCTGTGACGGAGATCAGGGTTTTGGACAACGAATCTGAACCGTCCAAGATCCGGGCACGTGCAATTCTCGACAGCCGGATCTAATCTTGGAACTGTTAGGGGGTGGAGAACGGTCGAGGCGGCCTGAGAAGACTCGTGCGCCGCTTCATCGGGAGCCTTCCAAAACCTATCTGCCCTCGCAACGAAACTTCTTCCATGGAGTTCGCCTCCGCTGTTCTTCTTCCCGCCCCGCTCGCCTCGCTCCCCGCCGCTGCCGCCACTATCGCGGTTCCGATTTCGATCGCAGTCACCACTCCCACCACAGCTTGCTGAATCGTCTGGCTGCGAGGCAGGAATCCGATCCAGATCCCGAGCTCCTCTTCTTGGGGGTCTCCTTTTCCACCTACGAGAAGACCTTAATCGAACTGAAAGAACAGGATGGCGCCGTCTTTATTGCTGATGAATCCGGCCCTTTCGTGGACCGACACAGAGGCAACGGCGGCGCTGAGGTTTAATGTCAAGCCTTTCTGTCCTCCAGCCGGTGCCTGCTACTGGTTATGCCCTTCTATTCTTGCTCGCCATCGAACTGGATTCCTTGATGTTTAGTTAATTTTTGGACTGGATTTTTGGTCAACACGCTTTAGCCTGAGGCCTTTTTTCTCTTTTTATGATCAGTTAGATGCGTGGATGTAGATTTATTTATAATTTTATTTAATTATTCAAAATTGCAGTTTGCAAATGCTCATGCATGCTAATCCTTTCGGATCATTGAGTCACTGCTATATATGTGATTATGTTGCTGTTTTATCTGCTATTGCAAACACATAAACTTGTTCCTGGAACACCAATTTTTTGTAAGATTATGGCATCTTTAATCTAACACCATGGTGCATATGAATACAGTGCTGTATAAATATATGTGAGACTGATAAAATGACATTTGTATCACAGGATTTGGTCATCAGAATGGCATTTAGATTCAGTGATTCCCATTTCTAGTGTTTTGTTGGGTAATGGGACTCCGAGTCTCATTCTTGGGGGATTTCATCTGCCAATTGAGAGAATCTGAAATCTTGTGTGGCCAAATGCCATTGGGATCCCATGCTTTGCTTGTTTTGAGATATGCTTTGTGTAAACTGATCATTATGTGCTAATTTCTGAGTTATCTATATCCAGGGTTAGAAGATGGAGATCTCCGATATCAGCTATGATTCCAAATATTCATCTTCCAATGCGCAGCCTAGAAGTTAAAAACAGGTTGGTTTTGCACCAGGAAGTTTGAAGCCTACACCATAACATGGTAGAAGTATATTTTAGTTTCCCTTTTTTGTTTTTCTCTGTAGTTGTTTCGATGAATTTTCTTTTATCTCTTACAGTGGCTAACTGTAAACCTGTGGAACAACTTGAGAATGGAAAGTCTTGTATTGACATGTGTTTTGCAATAAGCATTGTCAAGACAAGAAGAAACTCCAGTAATGCTATATTCTCTATGTCCATGTCATTGTCTTTTTGATTATTTTTCTTTTTCTATCCAACCTTTGAACTTTTCCCCTTGTTTGAATTGAGTTATTCTTACACCCATCACAAAACTCCAATGTGATACCCTCCTCTTTTTCATCATTTTCTGTTTTGGTCAACAATAACATTTTCTTGTCTATTACTACACTAATTTTGTTCTATTACTTTCTTTTTTGGTTAAATGCAATAAGCTAAATACTGTTCCACTGCCATCACTAATTTGTTTTGACACTATTTCTGTTATTGTAGGACATCAGTTGATGACATTAAAAGCTTGCGATTGATCACAGCTGTCAAGACCCCATATTTGCCTGATGGGAGATTTGACCTTGAAGCTTATGACTCCCTTATCCACATGCAAATCATCAATGGTGCTGAAGGTGTCATAGTTGGGGGCACCACTGGAGAAGGCCATTTAATGAGCTGGGATGAACATATCATGCTCATTGGTCACACTGTCAACTGCTTTGGTACCTCAATAAGAGTTATCGGGAACACTGGAAGTAACTCAACAGGAGAAGCAATCCATGCAACTGAACAAGGTTTTGCTGTAGGGATGCATGCAGCTCTTCATATCAATCCTTATTATGGGAAGACATCCTTGGAGGGAATGGTCTCACATTTTGAGGCAGTTCTTTCTATGGGCCCAACTATCATATATAATGTGCCCTCAAGGACTGGACAGGATATTCCACCCTCGGTGATACACACGATCTCGCAGAATCCTAACATGGCAGGTGTCAAGGAGTGCATGGGAAATGATAGGATCAAAGGTTATGTAGATAAAGGGATTGTGATATGGAGTGGGAATGATGACGAATGTCATGATTCTAGGTGGGCATTTGGAGCAACTGGAGTCATATCTGTTGCTAGCAATCTTGTTCCGGGGTTGATGCATGAGCTCATGTTTCAAGGGAAAAATCCTTCATTGAACTCAAAGCTGATGCCTCTGATCAAATGGCTGTTCCAGGAGCCGAATCCCATCGGCCTTAACACTGCCCTTGCGCAGCTGGGAGTAATTAGGCCTGTGTTCAGGTTGCCCTATGTCCCTCTTCCTCGTGCAAGGAGACTTGAATTTGTACGCATCGTGGAGTCGCTTGGTCGTGAGAATTTCATTGGCGAAAAAGCTGTTGAGTTTCTTGATGACGACGACTTTATACTGGTAGGCAGGTACTGACAATACATGGTCCATTATCTCAAGTTTCTTCCCTTATAGTATGTAAGCCATTAATGGAGTAAAACTCTATGATCTATGATCAGAAAGCAAATAATCTAGCTGTCGTGCTTGTCAAAGTTTTCATATGGTATATATATAGTTGATTTGAGGTTCTTCTCTCTTTTCCTCATAGCTATCACAGAAAGCATTCAACAGTCATTTGGACTCTCCTAACCCAGCAAGCTATATAATTTCTTCTAATTTCTTCTTCTAATGATCATTATGTTGGTTGTTGCTTTACAGATGTATGGACTCAAGAATGAGAGTAGTTTCCTATAACCATTGTGATAGAAATATTGGTTGAAGGGCCCGTGAGATTAATTGCATGTCTTCAGAAAGATTGACATCTGATGCCCTATTGAAACTGCTGTTCTTTTAGAATATTGCGGAATGAGGAGTCCTTTTTTCCTTTGAAGTGGTACTGTTTGGTTTTAGAAATTAAAGTTTGTCAATTATAAATATGATCCTATCATACCAATTTAATTGACATCTTCACAATTTCTGGCCTCAAAAATCAAAGTTTGTCCAAATTTAGAGGACAATTAGACTACGGTTATAAAAAAAATAGTAAGGAAAATAACGCTAGGAGGATGGCTCGAACCTCTGAAAAATTAAGAAAAAGATTAAAAACCTAATGAACAATTAGGTTTTTAATCGCAAATTAACCTTATGGTGTATGATTACAAAATTAAATGTACAATTAGATAATGACTATAAAAAATAAATAAAAATCGAAGAATAAAGCTACAAGGAGGGCTTGAACCTCCCAAAAAAAGAAGAAATAATTAGACAACAATTATAGAAAAATTAGAAAATAATGCTAGGAGGGTTGAACCTCCAAAAAATTAAGAAATATGATGAATGATTACAAAATTTATTGAACAATAGTCTAAAACATTAATATAATGATGCATGATTACAGGATTTAATGGATGATTTGTCCATAACTAGAAACAAATAAACAAAAATTGAAAAATAGTGCTAGAAGGAGGGTTCGAACCTCCAAAAAAATTAAGAAATATTGATGTATGATAAAAAAAAATAATGAATAATTAGACTCTCAAAGATTATGTTTAATAATGTATGGTTAAAAAAATTAATGGATAATTATACTTTGAGTAATTAGACTAAAAATGAAAATAATACTAAAAGGAAGGCTTGAACCTAAAAAAAAAAAAATCAAGAAATATGGATGTATGATTAAAAAATTGAATGAAAAATTAGATTCTCAATAAACAAAATGGATAAGACAAATTACAATTTTCATGCATGGCATTTGCTATGTTATTATAGGGCTTGCATATTATATTCTTTTTTGCATCCTTGACAGTAATATTCATTTGTTCAACCTTATTCATTTATTTGTTAGATTTTTTTGATTGAAAATGAGCATAAGAGCAGTTGAACCTCTAGCAACTCTATCCATTCATAAAGTCTCTCGTGAGACTTACGGGCACTTACACTCGAAAATTTTATATTTATTATATTGTGCTCCCATCCAATGATGTCTAATGCTTTAATCTGATACAAATTTGATATATATATATATATATATATATATAAAAGATCTATTTTTGTGGTACCATATTCAATCCGATGCAAATTTGATATATATAGAAGATCTATTTTTGTGATACCATATTCAATCACTAAATCCATATCCCTTCTTATTATCGTATCGCCTATCAAATCAAAACTCCCAATAGCTCCAACCATCCCTACGGATGATTGAGTCTCTCTCAAGACTTCTTGGTCTGTTACTTGACATTGTTTACTGACTTGTTAAGAGATCTCTATGTTCAATGGAATATATTACACTTATTGAAAAACTCAAATGAGGGTTTTCTTGTTTCTATGAATTTCGATTTATGAAATATAGTCAAATTTAATTTTCAAAAGTCTTCCAAACCAATAAACGAATATAATGATTTGGAGAAGAAAATTTTTTCTTTGAACGCTAAAGCGATGAATGTTTTGTTTTGTGTTTTGAACAAAAATGAGTTTAATCATATTTCTTTACTTGAAATTACACAAGAGATTTGGCATATACTAGAAGTAACTCATGAAGGCATGAATAAGTAAAAGAATCTAAGATAAATTTTTGATATATGAATTTGAATTATTTCAAATAAAGTCAAGTAAAACTATTATTGATATGTACACCTGTTTTTACGAATGTCATCAATAGTTTAAAAACTCTTAACAAATATTTTTCTAATCTTGAACTTAAAAACAAGATTCTAAGATCTCGTATAAAGAGTTGGAATCCAAAAGTAATGATAATACAAGAAGCAAATAACCTAAATAACTTTCCGCTGGAAGAACTTATCGGGTCTTTAATGACCTATGAAATGATGTGTATTACACTTGATAAACTTAAGAACAACCTTTCAAAGAATATGAAGGATTTGACACTTCGAACAAAAGAAATCACTCGAGCGAAAGCTTAAGTGAAATTTTAACGTCACGGAACATGAAAATTTTTTCTTTGACATGAGAAGGATACATCCAATCAAATTTTAACATCATTTATCTATCATGTTTTGATGGAAATAAAAAAATAAAAAAATTAAGAAAATCATAAATTGATTAGATTATGAATAAATCAAAAAAAATATTTAAAAAAATCTCTAAACTAGAAAAATAATAACCAATTTGATTTGGCTTTAATTGAAAGCTTTGATGAAAATTTTGAAGTATTGGATCAGTCCTTATATACGATTCGCTGATTTTGGTTTAACTTCAAAAATAATGTATCGGATATTAAGGCTTAATATTTTTAGATCAAATTTTTACCATAAATTATATATTTATTTAGAAACTCAAATATCAAAAAATATTACATAGATCCAACATATTTTGATAAAAAAAAAAGTTAGAGAAAATAAAAAAATCATAAACTATTCAAATTCTAAGTAAATAAAAAATTAAAAAATAGAGAAAAGGTGATAGATGTCTACCTGGATGCAATACAATACTTTCCTAAAAATTTTAGACTATTTGGATTAGTTATTGTTTATGATACATTATTTTTGGTTGGACCCCAAAAAGTGTATTGGATATCAACACTTAATTTTTTTGGACCAAATTATTAACATAAATTGTCCAACTAATTAGAATCTCAAATGTAAAAAAAATAATGCATGAATCCATCATGTTTAGGTGGAAATGAAAAAAAAATGAAGAAAATAGCAAAATCGTACACTGTTCAGAAAAAATTCTCTAAATTAAGCAAACATTGATATATGTCTATAGAGGTCTGATTCAAAGCTTATATAAAAATTTTAAAGCATTTGAACTAATATTTGTTTTCAATACACTATTTTTTGTTTGACTTTAAAAATAGTGTATTGGATATCAGAGCTTAATATTTTTAGACTAAATTTTTATCATAGGTTATATATATACTTAGAAGCCCAAATGTCAAAAAATTTTGCATTGAACAAGCATATTTCAATGGAAATGAAAAAAATAGAGAAAATAGGAAAACCACAAACTATTCAAAATAAAAGATTGTCTAAATTAGAAAAAAAATATCTATCTGGGTTTAATGCAATGCTTTCTTAAAACTTTCGGACCATTTGGATTAGTTTTTTATATGCAATACATTATTTTTTATTTAACCCAAAGAAAAACAGTGAATTGGATATAAAGGCTTAATTTTTTTGGGCCACATTTTTACAATAGGTTATCTATCTATTTAGAAGCTCAAATATTTAAAAAATATTATTTGGATCCATCATATTTTAGTGAAAATAAAATAAGAGAAAATAGGAAAACTAAAGATGGTTTAGAATTTGAATAAATAAAAAAATTATAAAATAGAAAAAGAGTGATATATGTCCATCTAAGTCTAAGTCAAACCTATTATAAAAATTTTAAAATATAAGAATAATGTATCTGACTTAATTTTTTATTTAATTTTTTAATTATATTTTGTCTTTCTATTTAGAAGATTAAATATCGAGAAATATTACATAGATCGAATATATTTTGATGAAAATAAAAAAAACACTTAGAAAATAAAAAAAATTAATAAACTGTTTAGATTCTGAATAAATTTCGAAAATTTCTTTAAATTTAAAAATATAATAAATATTCTAATGCAATATTTTCTTAAAAAATTTAAAACATTTGGACTCGTTCTTATATGTGACACATTGTTTTTGGTTTGATTCGAAAATAGTGTATCGTATATCAGGGTGTAATTTTTTTGAACCAAATTTTTACAATAAGTTATCCATTGATTGAAAAGTTTAAAAGCTAAAAAAGTTCTAAAGATCCATCATGATTTGGTGGAAATAAAAAAAAACGGAGAAATAAAAAAATCACAAACTATTCAGATTTTAAATAAATTATATAAAATAAAGAAAATCTCTAAAAATATAAAAAGATTAATATATATTTATCTAGGTCCAATTTAAAGCTTTCATGAAAATTTTAGAGTATTTGGACCAATAATTATAAGTAACAGTGGGAGAGAAGATAATAAGGAAAAAAAAGATAAAAATTATTGGATGATTGTTATCTTTATCATTTTGAAAATTTGGGACTGTAAAATTTTTTTAAAATTAGGATTCCCTGTGAGAATTTTTTTTTAATTAAAGATATTTTTCGATGAATTTTCGGAAATTCACCTTAATTTTTAAAGTCTCAATGTCAACGAAGTAATTGCGTAGTTGATATGACAAAAAATAACGTGTATCGTATGTTCTCAAAACAGCTGGACCGCCAATGAGATTGAGACTAGCAGTGGAGCCCACCGCGATGGACCAACCACGTATGTCACAACAATGACCGATAAGTGCCAGGTCGAGCGCAGAGACCCACCAGCGTACCGGACCTATCCCAGATGGGGGACCACCATACGGGTCAAGACCAGGATCCGACCGCCAGACGCCCATCCCCAAGCTTTGGTGTTTGACTTTGACTGTTCCCTCCCGCCCTCTCACCCACACGAGCGAATCTTACAGAACCAAATTGGACTTACGTACGTTCGTCAACCAGCTCGCATAACTACACGCCTCACCAGTCTGCTTGGTAATTGACGGCAGTCGCGACGGTCCCACAAGTAAGACGAGGGTTTTATCCAAAGAGTTACGAAAAATACAATTAACCAAACGAGAATTGCACCCCTTCAATGTTAAAGAGTCTAATCCTTATTCTAATACTAATCCTAATCCTGATACTAATCGTCGTGACTGCTGTCGTCGTCGTCGTCGTCTTCCTCCTCTTCATCGTCGTCTGCTGATTGTTGATGTCGGGGGCACTGCACGCCGGCCCCCGACATCAACTGCAACTCCTGCTTCCCTCCTGCGGCCGGTGTGCCCGCTAAGTCCATAGGGAGCACCGTGGCTGTGGAAATTGGCTGGGCCGACGCCAGATTGATAATCTGAGGCCCCTGCGGAAGCGCCCAGATCTGCGCCTGGCTCGATGGCGCCGCCGCCACGGCAGCCGAGGGTGGCACCATCCACAGCGCCCCCGGCTGTATCGCCATCGATCCCGTTGCACCGCCGCCTCCCCCCATCGCCCAGACCGGGATCACCGCTTGCGTCCCGCTCGCGCCCAAGGGGGCCAGTCCCGCCGGTATCGAGATGGTGCCGCCACCCGGCAGCAGCGGGTCTTGGAGGGGGAAGTAACCGGCGACGCTGCCCTCGCTTCGCGACGGTTGAAGCTTCTTCCGCCGCTTGTTGGGCGCATCTCCGCCGTCCGCTGCGGGGGCCGATGTAGAGGTCAGCGGCGCAGAGGACGACGCCTCGGTGGGAATCTGGAGCGTCCCGCCGACGTTGGTAGCGATGGCGGGGACGGTACCGGTGCCGGTGGCGGCAATGATCGCCGGCTCCGCCTGCTCGAGGAGCCATTTTATGGTCTCGCCATCGGATTTGTGACCAAGCTCGCGCGTCAACTGGAAGATCCGAGCGGCGCAGGCCGCCGGCATCCGGACCCGCCGGCCCCGGCCCTCCACCTTGGTGTGCCGGTCCTTATTCCGTGATGCTGGTCGCCGAAGGATCTGGAACGCCCCCAACCCCATCATCTCCATCGGCTCGGGTTTGGGAACGATGAACCGATGGACGGGTATAATACCGGGCGGCGGCGCAGATGCCACCGGTCGACCGCTAACGCTTCCGCCACCGCTAGGCCGGGAGTCGGTCTTCCCTTCTAGCTTCCGGGAATCCATACTTCCTCGTCACCGTCCCTGCACACGGAGAGCTCGTCCTCTTTTCCCCTCCTCGCTGTCCAAAGAATCAATCGCGATACCAACAAAACCCTAAGAAACCCACCGCGCCTCTTTATCTATCATCCACCACCACTAAACGGCGAATCCGAGTCCTATTCCAACTGGACCCCGCTTCTATTGCACCTTCCACCGTCGGATCGCGATCTGGCCCACGCGTGTTGTCTCGGTCTTCGCCCGAAAGGGTTAGTTCTGGGATTTGACACCGTAGGTTCCTTTCCCAGGCTCCGCAATTCCTGTAACGCATCCGTGCCACTCCTTCCCTTCTTGGATCCATAGGGCTGGCCCCACTGCTGCCCCTCTTGAATACATCTCGTCTCATTTACGCGGGCATGGGGCCTCCTTTCCGGGAATTTGGGCCCCGTCCCTTGTTAAAACTGCAACTGGAAATACACTTCATCTCGTGTCACGTTCAACCCCAGAACGTACCCGCCTTTTATTGGCTTTAAGCGTGGCCCACCAGTGGGTTCCGCGTTTTCCAGCAGGGGCCAATCCATCGGGAATGGTTGGTCACGAGACATCTCGCGTGACGAAAGCTGTTGGGAGGCTCGTGAGGCCGGGTCCCTTGTCGTGGTGCTCTCAGTCGACAGCCAGAGAGGAGGGTCCCACGAGCCGTGGTGGGTTCCACCCGTGGAGCGCGTGGCTCGTCGGCCATCGCCGTCGGGTTCGCGGAGCCCCTCCCGCGGCGGTCCCCGGCTCCAGGCATCGCTCACGCGGGCGGGTGGACCGAGGCGGCCCCCACTTGAGCGGAGGACGCGCGTCAGGGGCGACGTCGATCGTGGGATTTAAAGGCGCGGTGGACCAGGGGCGGGACGCAGAGCCGGGTCCCATCCCCGCGAGGGGTACGCGTCGGTGAGGGCGTCAACATCCGCGATCGGTCGGTCGAGGACGGTGGGTACAAACATCTGGAGCCAACTGGGTGTGCGACCACCGTCCGATATAGAATTGGATTGGGCCTTCACCATCATCGGCGTCGGAAGCTGGGGTCCAGTTTGATATTGGGCACGTTAAATTTGTCTTCGGTGCGTCCCGCATAAAGGGAACGTTTGGATTTGATGAAAAGGGTAGGCCGTGCGATGAGGCAAATGAGCTTCGAGGTTAACCAAGCAAGCGTTTAGATTAATGGCCTTTGATACGGCATGTTTTGGAACCCCGGCATGTCACCGCTGATGTCACATGTCAAGTCAGAATCGTACCGAGAAATTGTTCCACCTGTCCTGTCCCGAGAGCTCGGGCGGTGCCGTCTGACGTTGCTCCGTACGTCCTGGACACGGCGCCCGGTCAGAAGTCCCGTCCCGCCCCTCGAGGGTCAGCAGACACGCACTACCGACCCTCATGCAATAGTATAAAACCCCTGGCCGGAGGAATAGTATAAAACCCCTGGCCGACCTCCGGCCAAGGGGGGACAGACACAAAAAAATAATCCACTCCACACTAACTTGCTCGTCGGAGGGGCCACAGCTGGGGATCACTCGACGAGGGTCATTTTTTACAAGCGGACGATCGCCCGCGAGCGGCGAGCGTCTCAACCTAGGAATCGCCATTCAATGTACGAGGATGAGTTGCCAACCACCCCGGAGTCGAAAAAGTCGTGGCTCATCATAAACGGCGCTCGAATCAGCAGACCGAGGAACGTTGATCAACACCTAGTCGACCTAGGCGTCCAGCTCAACCAACAAAAGACTTCCAACATCGACCCGTGAACTAAGTCATGCTGACTCCTCAGCCACGGTATATCTGTTCATTAACCGCCTTCACAACCACAAACACTTATTTGTTGGAGAAAGAGAAATTTCATGCAAAAACTTTGAGATGCCTAATGGATGGAAAAAGGACTCATGAAGAGTGTCATTCAATTCTTAGTTTAGTTGTCCTTATCATGAGGACATCCATTATTGTTGTCCCATGGGAACATAACTGTTCGACAACCGCCAAATGAGTGAGAAATAAAGCAAATCAAGTCCTTTGGAGCACAGTTATTGACACAAATCAATCCAACGACCAGCATCTCCGGCTACCTTGTCACGTATTAGGGTATCTGCCTTCAACCTCTGGTTTTGTATCTTAACTCCCTTGTACCTACAGAGATAACATTCCAATTAAAGCCAGAAGAGAATCTACCATGAACAGGCCATGGCAGGTTGAGGATAAGTTCAGGACAAAAGGTTACTTGTCTTCCCAGCTTCATGACAGTAGCTTGAGAATTCGTTCCAGGGGAGAAGATGAAGGTGGAGCCATCGATGACTCTGAGCGCATCCACGCCAAGAACTTTCTTCTCATCGTCCACCACCTGTCCCACTTGGCATCCGCAATGGAAATGCCATATCGTCAGTACAAGGTCCCTGCGGTACCGCTCCAAGGAGGTGGGGTCGTCGTCATGTCTTTCTCGGTTGTCGATAATTAAAGATGCAGAAAGGGCCATCAGATCCGCCACCCGACTGATTAGGGTACCCAAATTTCGAGAATTCTCTGGACTCGATCACTCTATCGATCGTCTTCATGTCCTCGACGCAGGTCTGGAGGTCCTCGGGCTCCATGAAGTAGTTAAAGGTGACGGAGGGGTTGTCGCCTGGGTTACAATTCTTGAGCCGAAGATAACCCTTAGAGAGACGGCATGACAACTTCTCACCGATTAGACCGCCTTGAAATGTCTTCGTTTCCTTGTTCGGAGGAAGTGCGAGATGGTTCAGTAGCCTGGCTTAGATACACAAGGGTTTCCATGCAATAAAATTCAACCACGGCTTCAATATCATCGCGTGCTTTTACCCTAAGGTAAACTTAATTCAAATGAACACTGTGATATAATGCTCCTAACCCAGTGGAAGATCGGCGATGGTACAATATCTCAATTCTACTAGTTTAAAGATCCAAGAGTGACACCTTGGATGAGTAAGAGTTAAAAGGACTCGCTCCCGAGCCATACACCTCGATATAAAGCCCCAAGGGCTGTACTTAGGATGAGTCCCTGCACTCTCTAGATGTGCACCTTGGCCTAAAGACCCAAGGCCAGTACTTAGGCTAAGCTTATATGCTTCTTAGCCATGCACTTGGTTAGAAGACTTGAGAGTAGTACCTCGAATGAGTAAGAGTTAAAAAGGACTTGCTCTTAAGCCATGCATCTTGGCGTGAAGACCCAAGGGATGCACCTAAACTGAGCTTACATGCTCTCTAGTCATGCACTCGACATGAAGACCCGAGTATTGTGTCTTAACTAGACCGATGCAATACTCTAGCCAGCAGACTTTCATCAGAACACGCACCCAATAGAAGAGCACGCAAAGGCGCTCTCTAGAGAAAGGCCCCGAGGGATGCCCTTTTGAGGGGGGGCAAATGATAGAGACTATTTTGCCCCATGCTAGCTCATATGCCATTAAGGCCAACACCTAAGCAGGGCTCTAAGTCACCAACCCCAAAATGGTGCCATAAGGCATCCCAATGTGCATCGCATCAATGATTGGTGATAACCGCTCTACCTTATTAAGATCAGAAAATGATAAGACGGTTCAACTAATCATATCCTAGATCGGTCAATAAGAAGGCCTAAGGATCAGGTATAAAAAGGAACTTATCAGCTCACGTTGAGGGATAAAAAAGAACTCTAGACACACTAACCTTCGTATAGTTTATACTATTGTCTTCTCCTCTTTGTTGACTTAAGCATTGGAGGGGTCACGTCGGGTAACCCCTAGTGTTAGTCTATCATGTAAGATCATCGGCGGTCAGGAGGTGACCCCATTGTCAGGATGCAACCATGCAACCACGAGACAAACCATCTCTCGGGAATACCTAGACGAACTGGCCTAGAAGGGAACCTTATAGTCAGAAAGATCCTAGACCATCTATCCGATCATCCCAAACAGGGTCCTCACTGATAAGACCACTTTTGATCGATCGCCCATGTGGTCACCTCAGCAAGTCTTCCACATCAGCTAGGAAGAGGTATTTGGATGAGCTTGCACATTCAGTAGTAAACCAACCGTTTATCAGTCCACCGTCATAAAAATATATACCAATTTTATTTTTCAATTAAAGATGTGAAATTTAGAGGATTAAACTTCTTATTTAGGGACAAGAATTTAATCCCTATTTTTTCTAAGGACTTAACTGAAAATATAAAAATACAGAGACTAAAATATAAAAATATCGAAATAAAAGAAAAAGTTTTTCACCCACCGCCTCTCTTACGAGGAAAACAGAGGCTGTGAGTGGCCGTGAGTGAGAGAAATAAAAGAAAACAGAGAAGAAGGAAAGAAAGGAAAAGAAGTAGAAGAGAAGCGAGAAAAGTAGAGAAGAAGAAGAAGAAGAAGAAGAAGAAGAAGAAAGAGGAATAGAAGAAGAGGAAAAAGAGAAGATTTATGTTATCTGATGTATATGAAAATGACTAGTCACCACTATATTTGAAAAGGCTAAAATATATATAATTCTAAACTGATTTGCAAAACGATCCGTTTAAGCTCTCAGATGGGTAAAAGGTAATTGATATGTTATTTTTTGTAATATGACAGATATATGATCAGTATGACTATGATTTGAATTCTACCCATGCGAGTTATACGTTGGTAATATATTTAGAAACTAGTTTTTCTCAACCTTAACATAGAGTGATATGTGTTATAGGATAAGATACATTATCTTAGTCGTAACTCTTGTCACCAGTGGCCAGCAGCTTTTCGTGCTGGTCTTTGGTATCTTATTTTAATTTTATTAATGTCCATCATTAAGTAGCCCACTCGACAATATCTACTGTGACTCTTATCTTCCATGGCTTCGTACAAAATAATCGAAATATTGAAGCATAATAAAGCGTTCCAAGGCATGGGAGCATTCAAGAATACAAAGTTTGCGTCATGTACTATGAACGGAGTACAATTATTGTGAGAAAGAATTCAATTGCAAACTGGTTCGACTACCATGCTAAGGCTTCTTCATCTTCTTCTGCTCCAACCTCTGGTTTTGTATTTTAACTCCCATGTACCTACACCATAATAATAGATGCAGTGGTCAGCTGAAGAAGAAGAAGAAGAAGAAGAAGGTTTACTACCTTCCTAACATCATGACGGTAGCTTGAGGATTGGTTCCAGGA